CCCCCCCCCCCCCCCCCGCCCTCAAACATAGTATAGGTTATTAGTTATTATCAAGGCGCCTACATTAACAGCGCCCAGGTGTGAAGACCACGCCTCACCCAGCCCATGCGCATGACATCGGAATTCCACGATCCTTCCTGGAACCAACCCAAAGGTCAATAAAGTGAAGAGCCACTGCGTAGTTCCCCATAACCCAAGCCCAAGTCGAAGGAAAGTACCGGGCGAAACACCATCCAGGTTCGAAGCCCTACACTGGATAATCTCTTAAAGCGTAACCTCGGACCCTAAATCCAAATCGCTTACACCCGAAAGACCTATTCCTCGAAGCCCTTCGGATGAACTGCACGCGCAATCTTCGCTGGCTGCCGAGTGACAGGCCATGCCTAAACGACAACCATCTTTCCTGGTCTAGGGGCTTTAGGGTTTAAGGGCTGCTTCTCAGTGGTTCGCGCATTTAGGGTTCTGACTTTAAGGTTTTGATGGCTAGTTCTCAGAATCAGAGTCTTTCTGAAGATCCCTATTGCAAGAGTCGCATACTCTTGTGGGGATCCACAAGGGTGCCAAAGTTGGAGAAATCTGCAATTTGGCTATGAAGCAATATTGCAATGAGCATCTAACTGATTAGGCTCTAGTCAAGCGCAGCTATGGGCTTATTAAGGTTTCGGGAGGCTTGCGGCACGCGTTTTGGGATTTCTCACAGAAATCCCGGATCCAAGTTTGGCCGTATGACGCTGCAGAAGTATCAAGATTATGGCAGAGGCTCCCTTTACGCCTAGACCTGAACCGTAGTGCCTGTTTGGCTACTTGATTGGAAACTTCGCCTCACATCCTGCACGTCATCATTGCGGCCTCAAGAACTTACCATTCTGCGAAGATTGCTTTCTTAGGCGTTCTTGTGTCAACGCCGGCGAGAAGGCTTAAGCAACGAGCGAAACACATCCGCCGATTCAGCCGGTTCTTCATTCTCCACGTGGACCGATGTAGACCCTATACATGGATCCTTGCTCGTGGCAACCTCTTATTCGACACACCCAAAGCTGAAGAGAACCCGAACCCTAAGGCTCTAAGGCAAGCCCGATCGATTTTAAACTCCAAGCCCTAGCCTGAAATCATTTTAGACGTCAAGCCTCTTTAGAACAATCTCTTGGCACTTAGTACAGGCAAGTCTGACAGCGACAAACATGTATCCGAGTGCTTGGAATTTGGGGGGGGGGGGGGTTGATATTTAGGACGACTGGCACAAAGCATAGACAGGCGCAGATGAGTAGAATCTGAGTAGAATAAGGTTTAGGGTACTTTGCAATGGGGTGCAAACTGATTACTGTGAGGTACTATATTACAAATGTTCGAACCTTTGTGCTGCCATATAGAAACCAGCTGCTCTTGTGTTTAACCGTTCGCGTGTGTGCAATCGAGCTATGTGTCTTAAGCCTCTTGTTCATTGTCCTTACCGTGTAGGACTTAGGGTTAGTGTCTGAAATGCCCTTCGAGACTCTTGAGCAAATAGTTTTTTCGCGACCTCGGTCGGTGGCCTCACAAACAGCTCGGCAGCAAAGGAAAACGGACTGCGTTTGCTGAGTAAAGGTCCCCGAAGGACGCGAAGGAGGAGCGGGATGCATGGGAATCCTGATCTCGAAACTACAGAAACCCTTCGCCCGCCTAAATTCCAATCACACCTATGCCAAGCCCTAAGCTGCTTATATAAACCCTATGGAGAAAGGCAGTGCGGTCAGCCATGAATGAAATTGAGATCTACTGGCTGTCTGAGTTATGCTCAGTTGTTCATCTATATCTGTATGCTATATGTAGGTATGTGTACTGAAGAAAATCTGTGCGTGCATGTCGAAGTAAGGAATCCAAACGTGTAAGTCGGGGGGGCTCATCCGGGCGCTACAGGTAGGGTTCAGTTGTCTACAGCCCATCCCGGGCCTCCTTACAAACAGAATCAGCACCTCAGTGCTGAGAAAGACAATCGCTGCCCGGAGGAGCCGTTAGACTGCTATGCAGATCGCGGAATCTCGCTCCAGGCAGGGAATCTTGAATGCAAACGCACAGTGGACGGAACATTGCGGCTCGACAACTTGAGTCTGCTAAAGGAGTGTGGGGTGCATGAGCAAACAGCAAGTGACTTCTCCGCTCTTGATACACTGTCGGTTGACATGTGGTAGAAAGTGCTGAATCATTCAGAACGGAAAGTGCTGCCGCTATTGCCGTGCAGGTAGGGGGTTCCACTATTTAGCGGCATGACTGTCTTCAGATTTTTCTGTAACTTCCGGCGCGGGTCGTTTGCTCGGAACCCTGCGGCCGGATGCATGAGTATCCAAGGCTGCACTCATCTCCGTTCTGAGGGAAAGAGACGTCGTTGATAGAGGCGCAAAAAACCAGGAACTCCCACCTGTGTGGATATATATATATATATATATTTGCACACACAGACATTTATATATTTTCGGCACTGGCACACACACACACACATATATATATATATATATGTGTGTGTGTGTATATATATATATACACTTATATGTATGTGTGTAGAAGTATACCTCTCTCTCTCTATATATATATATATACAGATACATGCTGGATACATGTATACATCACATGTGTGTATATATATATATATATATATATATATTTATGCGTGTGCTATATCTACCCATACTTGTCTAGACTAGGGAATAACATACAAACACTATTATAAAGCAATGCAAAGAACTAACATATACTACAGCATCACAATCTACTGTACGGAAATATGATAGAACATAGTGTAATATAAGAAGAACACTATATCATGTCAATTTACACGTCCATTGGTCTCTCTCTCTCTCTCTCTTTCTCTCTCTCTCTCTCTCTCTCTTTCTACATATATATATATATATATATGGATACATATGCATAACATACGTAAATTATATACATATATACATAAAAATAAACAAACATGTAAGTGTGTGTGTGTGTGTGTCGTGTTCGTATCTAACTAGCTAGCTGGCTCGGCTGGATGGACGGAGGGATGGACAGACAAGCAGGTACGCAGATAGATCGAGTGAGAGCAGGACAGAATGAGAGTAAATAGTCTTTGGTGTCCGAGCATGTCAGGTAATCCTCGCTGTGATGAGGCAAGCTGTGAGGCCGTGAGTTCCTGGATGCACTCTATCGCATGCACCCATGTCTTGTAGGTTAGGGGTCGAAAAAATAGGATCCGCATATATCCTCATAGAAAGGGACCCTAAATATGACACCTCTACGTTTGAGAACCCCTTCCCGCCCACTTCAGTTTCAATCTAGGGTGTGGGAAGACACCGCTTGGAAGGTGCTTGCAAGACGTCCCAAGACGTCCTGCTTCATACACTGGTACACTGAAATTCAAGCATGCTTTGGTGGCTACACCTGACTATCCCTCGGGCTCCAGGCAGCAGTATGTAGGAACTGTTGAAACCATTTAGATGCCCAGATTCTGCAGTACATTGTATACTTGGAGCCTCAGGGAAGAATGCAGTCAGGGCAGCAAGAAGCAACAGCTCGAATTGGAATCCGGCTCCCTCCATCCGAGCACGCCGGCGGATGTAAATATCAGAAGTCGAAGGCTAACCCGACGGATCCAATACCTCTGATATTTATGGTCTTATATAGCAGTCCACACTTTGGGCCCAAGACACTCGAATCGGGACGCCCACTTGGCTCCACACAAGGGTGCTCTTATACTGACGCTAGACTACTAGACGGGATTCCTGATGTAGTGCCCTCCCAGGTCCCAGCTCCCGCCAAATAAGGACTTCCTTCCCCTAAACCCTAAACCCTAAACCCACCCTCTCCTGGATCCCTAGAATTGCTGTACTTTCTGGCGAATTTCGCACAGATCACTGCAGGCTTGACCAGTGGCCAGCCGTGCTTCCTGGTTTCTGGATGAACCCGAAACCAGTGCGGCTGGCCCTAAATCCGGGTTATACTATTATACTGCACTCTAACACAGCCCACCATGTTTCGGGAAAGCAGCATGCCATGCCAAGACGTGAGGGCGCGAGGCTGGTGGATGTGCGCTTCAGTTCAGTTTAGCGGGTTTAGGAGTGGTCTCGGGTACCGGATACAGCTGTCCCGGAGCAGGCTCATGGAAATCGGTCGCACTTTCGGGCGTCAAAAAGGTAAGACTGGTGGGCACGATCGGCCCAAGATTCTTCAAAGCCGTCCGCATTAGACAACCTGATCCTTAACAGGTTGCCTTCTTATGCTTACTACCAAACGCTGAAAGAGGCCAGCTGTTTGCAACTCTTGGTGCAGAATGCTTGCTCCTCTCCGTCAGCGATGCGGGCTGCTGCTGGAGCAGCTGCTGCTGCTTGGCTTCCTGTCGGCAGCGCTTGATGATGACTTTCACATTCAGCAGTTCCGGGCTCTTGCTGACATCCTTGAGAAATCCCTTGATCTCATGCACATGGAGTTCGTGCATATAGCGATCAGGAGGGCTGCTCGCGCCTTTTGGCATGCTCGGGTCTACCTCCCACTGGTGGAAGGAGGGCCGAACACTCTTTGCCTTCCGCGACTCCCAGTCCATCTCCACCTCCGCAACATCTGGGCCATCCGAAGGGTCGCTTGAACACTTCTCCTGGAAGGACGGCACGTCGTCGGCCACGGAGAGCTGGTCGTCCGGCTTTCTGGGAGAAGGCACCGAGAGGCTGAGCTGCGGCTTGGGCTCTGCTAGAGTCTCGCACGGCTCAAGGATGCGCTGCGGAGGCTTGACGTCGCATAGCATCCTGTCTATTTACAACGCCCGCCGTCCACAAAGGGCCCAATGGAGCAGAGAGTTTCCACAGCCTCCAGCTGTTTCTCGATCTGCCGAGGTTGGCTTAAGCCAGGCACGCAGCTACAAAAAGTCCAACCAATTTCGGACAAAACCCTTGAGCCAAGATCGGTTTCCCCGCTTTCGAACTACAAAGCAGCGTGTTCGAAGCTCTCAGCCTGGTACAGGAAAGGCCACTGTGCATCTTCCAGGAATATGATAGCCGAACACCTCTTGAGACTGACTCGTTTCGAGCCCCCACTGCATCTACTCTGATTCTCTTAAGACATGGTGAGCTGACGCCACCTAAACCCTAGAAACCTAATTTCGTACTTAAACCCTAAACCCATCGAAGCCTTATCAGCCCTATATATCCCAAAGAGGACCTAGATCTGCAGACTTCAGCCAGGCAGCTTGTAAAAGAAGTATGCGCAGGGGCCTCAGCGCCAATCAGGCACTCTAGAGTCTTGACATGCTCGCTTGGGACTCGCTGTGGGTGCGTCTGTGTTTGTGTGTGTTTGGGTGTCTCGGTGTACGCGTCTGTGTCTTGCTGGTTGTTCGCGTGGCTTTACAAAAGAGTGTCTACCGTGATTCAGTGCTGCGTAATTAATAATACCCAAACAATGAGTCAAACTCTGCCTGATAGCGGCCCTTGTTGCAATTCTACTTGTAGCATGCCAAGACCGTTTCATTTCACCTGCAGCGGTTGTCTTGAGCTGCTGACCTGGGGTCTCCCAAACTGAACATGCAATGGGGGCTTCTGAATTGTAGGGTTTAGGATGGCTGAGGGTTTAGGTATCTAAGTCTCCTCACAATGAGGATCCTGTTAAGCCGGCTCTAGATTAAAGTTCAAAGCATATTGGGTACTGTATAAACAATGTCTTCCCAATAAAAGGGTCCTCATCAACAGGCTCGATATTCGCATTCCTTAAACGTTGTGTGATGCTCCTCTACTCTTGCTGCTACAAGAAAATGCCAGCGTTGCATGGGGTACTGCGAAACACGATTAAACTGAGCATCTGATATTGCATCTTATTGCTCTACCAGATATGATTATCAGGTAAGATTACTATTAATAGCCAGGATTCAAGTGCAAGAACAAAGGTTTAATAGTAGCAGTACCTCCAGGGCATAACATCAACCTAACTAGCCGTAGTCCAAAACTACCATATACCATACCATACCATGAGGTGATAAAGTAACAAAACAGGATGTAGTAAAACATCATAAACTATGGTATATAAAATCAAAAAACTATGGTATACCCTTCAGAAACTGAGCGCTTGGCGACACTCACCACGCCTCGGCTGCAGGTCAGTGAGCTCTGTGCAGTGCAGGGCATATGGGTCAACTTAAGAGAGCTGATGTAGGGGCCTTTTTTGTTCAATAGGGCTTGGGGGTGCATGGTACTACAGTTGTAAGAAGGAAGCCCCAAAACCCTATTCTAATTCTTAAGGCCCCTAGATTAGGGGGCTTTTCCCCATGTTGGCTTTGCTTTGGGTTTTGGGCTTGCCGGAGGGGCTTACCGTTCCGGCAGGGCTGTAACATGCGAGAGTCCGGTGACTGGTTTAGAGTTTAGGGCGAGGCTATCGAGCTCCGTCAGGATCTTTCGGCCTGAAACCTGCTCCTAGCAGTGCATATGTTGAGGCGAAGATACTGGATGCAAGAGAAGCGCGGCTTGGGTGGCAAACATGCGGATAGGCCCTCCTCCTCTTGGTTCATTCTACCTTTCGGTACTAGCTCAAGCTAGTCATCGTGCCAGAACGGTCCTGGCACCTTGTAGGAAGGGTCGGCTTTTCGGGCTTACAGGGCTATAGGGTGCAATGTACCACCAGCAATCGGTTCATGCACGGTCGAGGTGGGGACAAGGTTGGCTTCCAAACCCTTCTGGCGATGAGCCCCGTTTCATCACAAATCCCCAACAGACGCTGCTCCTGCCGGGATGCTCATGCCGCAATTCGGCCTCTGTTAACTGGCGCGGCTGCTCTCGCCGAGACTGCTTCACACACGCAGGGGCGGACGAGGTGCTGAGCCTCGGTGTAGTCTGGAGGCTTTGGCACAGAAACGTCGACTCATGTGGGGGTTTCCAAAAATAGGGGACCCTAATATAGTACCCTAAATAATAGGTTCCTTATTATAAGGACCCCCCAAAATAAGGTACCCTAATTTTCGGAAACTGCCATGTAGCTTTTTGTTAAGGTCTGAATCAAGCCGGGAGCCAGACCGCTGAAATCCAGAGAACCAACCCACTTCGAGCCCATGACCGCCTCTTTGTGTGCGCGCCTTTCCGTGGATGCTCGCACTACGGCCTCTAGGTGTCCCCTGGCCCTTAAACAAGGTCACAGGATCCTTCCAGCAAGGCACAAATACTTCAAGAATCCATAAACACTTAAACCACTGCAATCCTAGCGGCTCATATTGAGGGCTAGACTTTCTTTGCTTGGTGGGTTTAGGGTGTAGAAGTCTCCTGTTCCCAATTCCCCGCCACATCCCAATGCATCTAAACCAAGCCGAAGCGGCTGATCTTGCCTCCTATGGTGGTCGTATAGGTCCCCTTTCGGAGCCCTCATAGTATCCCTTTATAGTACCCTTATATATAGCCTAAACCCCAAACTTCTAAACCCTGACAGTACCCTTATCAAACCCTCCAGGTTATCATACCCTGATATTACCCCTTTGTCGGATTCTTGAAGGAGCCCTTGTAGTACCGCTATAGATCCCTTTTTGAAAGCCCTTATCGTACCCCCAAAGTAGCCAAAAAGCTGATCTTGCTCCAGGTTGTGGAGAGGCGTGGAGTCCTCGTGGCTCCCCAAGAGCGCCGGGGACGACGAGCTGTGAGCCCTCGGTTTAGGGCTTAGTCTTGTTGTTGAAGGGCTTCGGGTTTAGGGCTTGCGGCAACAGTGTATATCACTGATTTATGTGCACGGCTGTATCTCTGGTCGTGTACCTGATATAACCTTGGCTGTGTTCGATTGAGTTCTCATTGTTGGCTTCATCGAATGCGGGTGCCCCTCATCTTATGCAACCATGAGTGCTAAGTGGAGCAGCATTGCGACGTCGCCGCCCTCACTTGGGCATGCTCCCTCGAGAAGTGATGCTGTTGGGCAAGTCTGGTTTCATGGAGTAAGTATGCCGGCAACTACCTGGACCCCCGACTCCGTCCTAGATCCAACATGGTGGACAAACAAGAACGCCAAATAGCCTCCACAATCATCGCCATCGGCATCATGATTAGGATAATCATCATCACCATCGTCATCATCAAGATCAACGTCATCATCATCGCCACCATCATCCTTACCACCAACATCATCGTCATCGCCATCATCAACACCATCATCATCATCATCATCATCATGTGACCCGAAGACGTCAACCTGCTCTTCATGATGGCAGAACTCCTCTCGATATGCTGCACCCTCAAATCTCAGTCCTCCGGCGACGCCCTATCCTGGACTCTCAACCAAAGCCTCACTCCTGGTACAATCCGCGCCCTAAACGCCCAAAGGCGGCCGAATCCCAAACTCTTCAAGCCCTCAAGCCTGCATCCTAAACCTAGAACCTTAAACCGCTTAGGCTGCTTAGGGGTTAAGATAATACAGGGGCCTTGCTAATAATTAGAATAGGGTTTTGGGGCCCATTATGCTATAACTAGAATAAGGCAAACAAAAACTGCGTAAACCTCGAAAAAATCTAATCCGGAGCCAGTCGCAGCTGACCGCAGCTGCCCTCATCTCCTTGGCTCGCCTGCCCGGGACCTTCGAACGTATAGGAGTTCAGGGTTGAGGATTTAGGGTTTAGGGTTTAGGGTTTAGAGGAGCTATAGAGGCTGTGGGGTGTTTTTTGGGGTTGCATCCGGGTGTTAGGGGGCCGTACATGGGTGCAAAGCAACTTGAAGTTGATTCAGTAAGGACAGCATCCTCTCTATTATATACCCCTATGATGGTAGAGTAAATTGCGTTCTGGGAAACCTCTATTCCACAGAGCTGAAGCTCCCTCTCAGGTTTCTCTCTTTGCTTTTGAGCTGTTTATGTTGAGTTTTGGTGTTGCTTTGTTTTAAAAGTCTGGGAAACTTGGTCCTTTTTTGAGGGTTTTGGGGAGTCCGATAAACAGAAGTGCCCCCAGCATTGCACTCTCATCGAAGCCCCGGCGTCATAACACAGCTTCTTGAATCCGTAAACTCGGTGTCTCTTTCAATGTGCTCTTCTTGTAAGGACCACCCCTATTGTAGTCTTCCTCGCCAGGGCTTCTGCTGATTGTCGTTTTTGTGTACGTATGTATGCATCTCTGTATGTATGTATGCAAAAATATGTCTGTATGTATGAATGTATGTATACATGTATGCTAGCATGTAATTATGCACGTAATGTATGCAATGTATGCCTGTATGTATGATTGCAATGCACGTATTTATGCAGACATGTCTGCATGTATGTACTTGTGTAGGCATGTATGTAACATATGTAGGTATGTAGGTATATGTGTGTCTGCATGTCTAGATGTATGCGTGTGTGTGTGTGTGTATGTAAGAATGTAAGTACGTATGTATGCTAAGTACGTATGTATGCAGATATGCAGGCATGTACGTATGCAGGCATATAGGCGCCTGTATGTAGCATGCATGCATCCATGCATGCACGCATGTATGTCTGCATGCATGTATGCATATACTGGGTGAATACTCGGCATGTGTGTGTGTGTGTGTGTGTGGTGTGTGTGTGTGTGTGTGCGTGTGCGTGTGCGTGTGTGCGTCTGTATGTACGCTGTGGTCACTTCGAAGGTCATCCGATCAAGAACCCTCGACACTGCAAAGCCTACAAGTCGATGAAACTTTGCTGTAAGCCACTTGTAGGCTCCCTACAGCCTGAACCCTACACCCTAAAGTCCCTAAAGCCTAAAGCCGAAAGCAGGAACCCTGAGTCCCTAAACCCGGAGACGGCTTGCAGTGGAGTAGCTGGCTCTACCAGCCAACC